AGAGCTAAATTTCTTGGCTTTCTTCTTCCATCTTTTTTTCCACAACAAATGCTTTATTTCCAGAACAAATGCTTTATTTCTAGAAAATGATAATTAACAGATAAAGAAGTCAGTCATAGGACTATCTCCAGAATCTACTCTTTTGGTCTTCCTATTTCCTGTGAAGAGTCTCTGTATATATCATCTCAATTGAATTGAGATATAATCCTCTTACCCTTAAAATTGTTATAGACTTTGAATATAAACTATTATTACAAATATAAAGGTGAAAATTCAGAAATATGAACAAATATTGATAAAGCCAAGATTATAACTTTGGTGAAAGTTAATTTAAATATGACCAAAACACAACTTTACTGAAGGGAGGGGGAGGGGCGAAGGAGAGAGTCCTAAGTTGAAGATGCCATTCCCACAGCATCTCCTCGGGCTCCACTGCTCTACAGTCCTCAGGACAAGTAAACATGTTAAAGACATTGTTACAACATGAACAAATAGCCTGTAGCTTCAGGAAGCCTCAGGATACTGAGGGTAATTTCAATGTATCTAAATTACCTCCATAGATACTTCGGGAATTATTCTTTAACATGAAAAGTAAAAAGCAAAATTCCAAGTGAGCAGCAGGCCCCAGATTTATTGCCCTGTAGCTCTCATATACTAATCATCTTAGGTAGCGTGTGTATCATTTTCAAAGTACTTGGTTTATAACTTCAATCCCAAGTCTGACTTCTACCTCCAGTTACAGGTTACAGCGAATCCAAGCTGAGTTCTGAGCAAACTTTTAAAATAAGAGATCAGCATAATTTCCCCAAAGCAGAAGAATCCAGGTGCAAGTTTCTTCTCTTAAAATTTATATATGTTTTTAGGAAAGAAAGGAGCCGTCAAGCAAGATGTTTTTTCTAGGAAATTTCTTGTTAAGCTATGATATTTTATAAATAACTTGGCAAGAAGTAGATATGATAAATTTAATTCAACAACAGAAGTTAATACCATTTTTGGTGGCATTCCTTCAACTCCTTTTTCCTTCCCCTCTTCCTTTATTATTATTATCATTATTATTCCCCTCCCCGGGTTTCTTCTCTTCCGTTTGTGTTAACTTTGTCAGTGTCTTCCCCAGATAAATGTTGTACAGGCTGGAGACCCTTAAGGCTAAAGAAATTGCTAATCCTTAATCTGTGTGTCCACTACCAAGCACGATCAAATGCCAGACAAACTACTCCCAAAGCTAAAGAGGTAACCTTAAACACATGGCACATTGTGGAACTTCTAGTCCTTTTTCACAGAAAGCCATATCTGATTTCCCCTATCAGGCTATGCAGTAGAAAAAACAAGATAACTTACTTTTGAAGTAAAAATTTTAAAGTTTTCTTCTAAGATGTCAGTAGGTCAGAAATTGCTCCAGATAATCTAATAGCTCTGCAGGATTTAACCCGTTGGGTGAGAAAAGGCAAACTTTTCCCCAGTCAATTAAAGAAAGACTTTTCTTTTGAGTTGGAATTGTGTGATGGGGCAAGAGGGTCCTGTGAGTGTGCGTGCGTGCGTGCGTGTGTGTGTGTGTGTGTGTGTTTGAATGGCAGCAAATGTAAGTGCCTTGTAGCAGAAAAGATTAGCAAGGATGGTAAATTACATAAGAATGCTATAAATTTTTTATTAGCATTTGAAATGAGTTTAAGAACCCAGTGGTAAAACAAGCTCTCATTGCATTTGCTTTGATTGTTAAGTATTTTGTTAAATTAATGACAGATTTCTGTAGGGTCATCTAGATGAAGAATGAACTTTAAGGCACTTGTTTCAAGGAAGCACAGCATTTTTGTAAAAGTTAAAGTAATTTCTCCTCACAAAATTAATAAAAGTTAGAATTAATGTTTTCAAAATGATAAAGAAAGCCATGTTCAACATTTGTTAGTTATAGGAAAAATCCTGCTTTTCTGAATCCTGCTTCCTTCCCTAAGGTGGGAAAAGAGAGGGGAGAGGAGAAAAAGAAGAGCCAAATAAATAATAAAATCTCTCAAAAGCAGTTCCCAAAATCAAATTTTATTTAATTGCCTTAGTAGAATGTAGAGATATTAAGACTATCCTTTCAGGGATGATTTCTATGGTTTGAGAGTTAATTTATACGTGCTTAGTTTATGCAATAAAAGTTTATCCTGTTGTGCCATAATATAATTAGGAAGTAATATATCTGAAAAGCTAGAAAAACACAGTCTGATTAAACACGAATTCTAAATGTTGAATCCTTAAGCAAGTTATATCAATATGTTATAAAAGATTAATATTTCAGCTTTTGAAAATGAATGATAGGTCAATACTAAGAGTGTTTCATTGAAAATAAGAAAGTAATTCATCTTATTATTGGAAGAATATTCCTTTGGAGAGAATATGAATGTGCCTATAATAACATTCCGTGTCTGATATATCTTTGTAGACCCCAGCAGCCTAATTAAAGAACATACATAATATATCTTTAATTGTAGGATTAGGTTATTGTTCAAATTTCTGAGCCACTTAGTTGCCACTCAATAGATACATGCTAAAGGAGTTTATTAGTTAATTAAATGAATGACTTTTATATACTTTGAATTTCAGTAAACCCAAAATTGTGGCCAGTGGCGATACTTTAAAATGAAGATGTTCAAACAAACACCGAAACGCACCATCCAGAAGCCACAGAGCTGTCAAAGAAAAAACAGAGCTGGACAGTAGTAAAAAAAAACTTTATGAAGAAAAAATATTGCAATAGAGGAAAAGAGACCTCAGCTCAGAATTGGACTCAATTCCGAATACAATAAGGAAACGTGGGAATTTATAGCCAAGGGGCAGAGTAGGGGGGGGTCAGTGGATGGAAAATTACTAAGAGCAACAAGAAAATTACTAGGGGGAGATTCTGGCTAAACTGACCTAACAGAATTCTTGCTGAAGGCGAGCCAGGGTGATCAGGCATCACCTGGGGGATGGTGGAAAATGAGGAACCTGATTAGATATCCCAGCTGATCAGATGTGGAGGATGGGAGATTCTTGCTAAACTGATTCAGTAGGATTCTTGCTAGAAATGGACTCCACAAAGATGGACTCAGAAGCCCAGGGGTTGAGGCCTAGTCAAAAAGAGAGCCCAATGAGCCTGATTAGTGTGGTCAAGCAGAGAATCTTTGTCAGTCCTCCCTCTTCTGCATCTAAATATATTAATTAGTGAATTAAATAAATGAACTTGATGTACTTTGAATTACAGTAAACTCAAAATCATGGACCATGGTGACACTTCCAAATGAAGATGTTCAAACAAAAAACGAAGTGTAGCATCCAGAAGCCACAAAGTCCAAACATTACTCAGAAGATAAGTGTGTCTTCTATAGCCAAGCATAAAGCACTGACACACCCAGATATGACTGAAACTGAGTAATTGAATACTTGAATAAAGTCTTAATGAGTCTCTGAATTCTAGTGGCTAATTGAAAACGCAATAGCTTCACTAGGGATGCTCTCTGCAATGCCACTGGTCAAACCCCGGGCTGAGCTCAGTGATGCCTGACTTGCAGTCAACCCAACATCCCACCATCATAAACCTGGGACCAATCCTAGTTCTGTGATGGCAGTGACTCAGCTGCCTAGCACAAATAGGCAGAAGGGCTTAGTACCAATCAAGTCAAAATTTAAGAAGAATAACGAAGGCCTCTGTTATCACTGGTGCCTTGCATAATTAAGTTCATAAAAGTGCAATAGCTATAACATGGGCTATGAGTTTGCAATTGGTCTTCTATTAGAGATAAGCAATGTTTCTCTTCCCTTGACCAGTCAAATGACTTTTGGTTTTTATTTCTCTGAATTGTCAAAGTCATAGTTACTAAATCTTCTACATATGGGATTATATCAAAGATCCAAACGGCCACCATAGTCTAACATGAACAGAAAACACCTATCTGTTCGTAAATTTCCTTTGTTTAAAGGCAATAGGGATCCAATCGCATCAAATGTAACTAAGTACATTAATAATGCTAAAGATAAATGCTACTTAAAAGAAAAAGGTATGAGCTCAGTTTCAAAAGACAATGCGAAAGGTATTTTTTCTCTTATCTAACTGAGGTATCTGGAGATACCAGGCCTCTAAATGGAGCACTTAGGATGCAGACGGAATTTTTCCTTAAGATAAAGGACTGGTTCAAAAATCTTGTCAGTTTTAAGTGTTTAATATTTATCTTCCTAAAAAGCCGTGTTCTGCTGTCTACCTTAAGAACGCACATTTTGTGAAAGCAAAACTATGGCTGAAGTCTTAAGCAACCAAATGTCTTCCCAGCATGTTCATCTCTTTCTCCACTTCTAAGGAATGTGTGGCAACTCAGTCTAGGCCACCTTTGCAGCCAAATCTTTCATTATCTGCATGAAAATTCCTATTCCTTTGAGGAAGAGGAGTTTTGTGGTTATAGGTTCTTATCATTCCACTGGGATCTTGCCTTGCACCTCTGGTATAAATTTCTCTGCCCTAGATCTTTTTTTAGTCCCTGTTCTGAGTCTAGAGATGTATCTCTCCGTGACTGCTCCCACTGTGCAGCCTTTCCAAACAGATCTAACTATTGAAGTGTTAATCTCTGACTGCCACCAAGGCTATTTTAAATATATCAAGGCTCTCATAAAAATTGTACTTATTTCTGAGCGCGACTCACAGTTTGTGTTCAAATTTGACAGTCTGTCTCCCTCACTAGACTGTAAGCTCACAATATTGTCCCCAGTTCCCAGTACTGTGCCTGATACATAGTAGGAGGTTCATAAGGTACTTAATTCAGTGGGTGAATGAGTGAATCTGTCTATCCATCAGTTAATTCTTTGATCAAATTATTGTTTTCTTTTCTCCAGTTTCACTAAATTACTTTTAATATCCTACCATTCTCCCAAAGCACAAGTTCATGTATTGGATAAAATCCAATTTATCATATCTTAAACATTAACAAGATAAAGAGTTGAAGAGGTAACAAGTATCAACCATAAGTAACAATAGCTACTTCTGACCTTACCTCTTTATATGGAAAGTAAAGTGTATCTTAGAGGTTACAATTAGCAGGGACTTTAAAGATCACTAATTCTAATCTAATGTCATTCTTTCAACTGCCTCCAACTGCCACCATTCTGTCTAGCTAATGGTGTAATATGGTCCAAGATTAGAATACTTGTGCCACACAGCAGCACAGGAAACATTTATTGGTGTCTCCCTTTACAATGTCTTTTCCTCTCATCTTCTTAAATTCACTTTTAACCTTTTTCTGTATATCTTAACGGAGTCTTCCATCTCATGGCTCCAACTCACATCTTATCATATCTCAAACATTAACAAGATAAAGAGTTGAAGAGGTAACAAGTATCAACCATAAGTAACAATAGCTGTTTTTGACCTTACCTTATTTTATGGAAAGCAAGATGTATTTTAGAGGTTACAATTAGCAGGGACTTTAAAGATCACTAATTCTAGTCCAATCTAATTCTCTCAGAACTGCCTCCAAATGCCACCATTCTCTCTAGCTAATGGTGTAATATAGTCCAAGATTAAAAAACTTGCGCCACACAGCAGCACTAGAAACGTTTATTGGTGTCTCCCTTTACAATGTTTTTTTCTCTCGTCTTCTTAGATTCACTTTTAACCTTTTTCTTTCTGTCTTAACTGAGTCTTCCATCTCATAGCTAAAGGGATTAAGGAGCCCACATCCAGAAAAGGATAGAATCTTTTTTTTTTTTTTTTTTAGTAAAGAAGATTAGCCCTGAGCTAACACACGTTGCCAGTCCTCTTTTTGTTGAGGAAGGTTGGCCCTGGGGGCTAACATCTGAGCCCATCTTCCTCTACTTTATATGTGGGACACCTGCCACAGCATGGCTTGATAAGCGGTGTGTAGATCCACACCAGGGATCCGAACCTGCAAACCCTGGGCCGCCGAAGCGGAGCATGAGAACTTAACCACTACGCCACTGCGCTGGCCCAAGGACAGAAGCTTTATTTCCATTTTTAGCTCTATTATGCAACAGCTGGAGGATTCAAATTATTCAATCTTCAGGTATCTGAACTCTTTAAAAATATATTGGTAATACCTAGATCAATCTAACTCCCAGGGATACTAGGAGGATGTGTGAAATGATATCTATGAAGTATTTTTTACAAGAAGCTCTGTAAATCTGAAGTGCAGTGTTATTTCCCCCGGACTATCTATATTATTAGATCTTACTTATTTTGGTTCGTTTGCATTTACTCCAAACTATAAGAAAGACAGCTGTATTAAGGTGTGGAAAGAATTGTTTTTGACCTATAAGAGCCATAAAAGCCAAGATATGTAATTCAGTTAGGGGTATCTCTATAACAATTTAGGGGTTGTGAATTCCTAGGCCAAGAACACCAAAGAAATATTTACTACGGATACTGACAGTACAGAGAAGTTTGGGGGTAATAGCAGTAATCTAAGTCTGCTTTAAAGAATGTGGTCAATGAAAAAGGAGAGATGGGAAGAGAAAGAGTCATACCTGGCAAAATTCACTTCAAATGGCAGAAACTCAGTAAAAGTTGTATTTACAATTAAAATGTCCCTTTATCGCTACCTTTATATTGGGAGGCTGCCGATATTTTGCCTCAACGGAGCTCACATGCTCCTAGGTAAAGGAAATAGGAGAGCTCAGTCAACCCTTCCATGGGAGAGCTCAGCTAGCCCCTTCACACCGACATCCTGTCTGGCCAAATCTAATTTCAAAGAGCATTTCAGAGAAAAACCAAGTATCACCTAGTAGTTCTATGCATTTTAGGCACAAATGAAAGGGTAATTGTGAACAAGATTATTCAAGCAGTGATGTTGGGTAGGCTATTCCTAGCATTTTTTTTCCAAATTACAGGTCACAAACTATTAGTGGGCCATAAAATTGATTTAATTGGTTGTGATGCAAATGAAGGAAGGGCTCTCTGGCCTCCCCCTTTCTTCCTGAAGCAAGACATCCCACTCGAATGGTGTATTCCCTGTGCCAGGAATAGGAGAACATCTTATCACCAGAGACGGAGTTGACACCAAAATGCATCCCTACAAACAAACCTACTAAAATAATCCTTATCTTCCATTGGTTTCCCTCATATATTTCCTAGTCATTTTCCCACAGTTTACTGCCCCTAGAAGCTTAAATCCCTTTTCCTTTGTTTTGTCACTCCTCCACAATTTATCATTCTTTGTTCCTAACCGCTTCTTTAGGTCTTCATTTTTCCTACGAAGGTTCCCATGTGCATGTAAAAATATTAAATAAACTTTGTATGTTTTTCTCCTGTTAATCTATCTTTTGTCAGTTCAATTCATAGGCCTCAGCCACAGAACCTAAGAGGTAAGAGAAAGTTCTTTTCCCTCCCTTACATTTGGAACATTGTAAATACCAAATAAATATAAGTTCTTCCTGTTGATATTATTATTAATAATATTATCGCTGCCTCTACCCTCTTCTGTATGAAAGGCCGGGAAAAACATGAAAAAAGAAGGCAAAGCCCAAGACCACATAATGATTCATAGAACTGCTAGCATTAAAGCTTCCCTAGGAGAGGCTGGCCTTTAGCAAGCTCCACTTCAGCAGCCCAGGTTTGTGGGTTCGGATCCTGGGTGCAGACCTATACCACTCATCAAGCCATGCTGTGGTGGCAACCCACATACAAAAAATAGAGGAAGATTGGCACAGATGTTAGCTTAGGGCCAATCTTCCTCACCAAAAACAAAACACCTTCCCTAGGAAATACAAAAAACAATTTTTTTTAAATCTAAATATGTAAGCCGTTAAGGCACTGTTCTGGTGGAAATGAATCACTCAGCAAATTCATACTGCAGTGGAGCCAGGTCTGATGATGGTGCCTTAGCAATGGCATCCATTAGCCATATAATGTGCTCTGAGAGGGAACCTGCTTGAGAAAGTCTTCATGGATCATGACTCTATCAGCAGATCAGGCTGACTCAAGCCTTAAATGTGCGCTGCATGGATTTGCCTGCCTCTTTACATCTCTGCAGAGGAGTCCACTAAGAAAACACTCTATTCAAGCTCAGACCACAAACTGTCTTCCCTCAGCCTGATGAAAATATTTTTCTGACTTGTCAAATGTGACTTATCTAGACAGTTTTCAGTCTTGTAAATTGAATTAGTGGAATAAGTAAGTGGCATATAAGTAAGTGACATTTAAAACAGATAGTAGCAAAACAAATTATTAATATAGAATCCAGAAATTTTTACAATGTTTGGTGGTTATATATTAGTTTGGCCAAACAGGCTGGTTCTGCTTCTATTTCACAAAAGAAAAGGGAGGGCAGTCACCAAAAATCAAAGAAGCAACAGTTAGCAAGATTATCTCTCAGTATCAAACTTACTTTGTCTATTAGCATGTTAATTACATCTACAAGATATGAGTAATCATTAATAACCGTTATTGTTGTTGTTAGTTAAATAAACAATACATCTAGCACATCACATAAACGTACCAAAACATGTGACAGATGCTATCCAAAAAGAAAAATTAACTACAAAGTCAACCCTCTAATGCCATTATAGAGATGCATTACTATGCATACTTATCTCTGCCCCTCTACACTACTCCATAAAAATCTGAGCACATTTACCCTTGTAGATGAGAAGAGCAGGCAGTTGTGTTTTTGTCCTCACCAAGAACAGAGGAAAACAGGAGTGCCCTATGATTCTCACCTGAGACAAGAGAAACAGGAACTCAGCGCTAGAGTGCTAGGCCACTAAGTAGCTGGCTAGTTTATGACAAGATGGGAGTGTCCCTGAGACTCACCAGTGGGGAGATGGCACGGGAAAGGAAGAAACTCTGAGAGGATGGATAAATCAGCTGTGAAAATATCCAGGAATATTCATTAGGATTGGATGCTGTTCCACTTTAGAATTTTTGAAGAGTTTGGACCAAGTATGAGGTTGGGGGATGGATGGACCAAGTATGAGATTGGGGGATGGACCAAATATGAGATTGGGGGATGAGGACAAGATCTTTATAAAACCTACTCTTTTGCTAAAAAACAAAACAAAACAAAAACAAAAACAAAAAATAGAACAGACAGATAACAAGATAACTTCAAAGAGTTAAAAGAAACTTCAAAGGCACGTGCTCACTTGTCAACATAATTATAGGGCAGTGAGTCTCCTAAGGTTGCATCTAATTAGTACTTTAGTTTCATAATGAATGTTTATGGCTTTGACAAAAAATATTGTTTTTATTCAGTTGTGTATGGCTTGTTTTCTTTTAGCATGCAAATAGCTACATTCAACAGCTACAGTTCTAAAAATCCAAGATACAATATTTATTGATGGCCTAAACTGCTTTAACCAAATGTGCAATATTTGTTATATTTTAAATGTTAACATGAGTACAGCAAGCCTTTCATTAAAATGTCGTTAAGAGACAATATTTATAGGAAAGCAATTTCAACCAAATCTCTAAAATCAGACAATCAACAACTAATTATGAAGTCATTGAAGGATTTTCAGTAAACAATTAGTTACGGCATTTAAATGTTTCAGTAAGAATTATGATCCTCATTTTTCAAATGAAGAAATAAGCATTAGAAAAAATTAAATAACTTGCTCACCATCCCAAAGCTAGAAAACCCAGTTCTAGCTAATTCTGAATCTCTTGATCTTTACAATGCCCTCTAGTGGACAAGTCACTACCTTATGGAGATGAAAATATGAAACAAACACAGGACATTTTCTGAGAAAGTGTTACCACACAAAGGGCACAATCTGCTTGCCGCAAGACAAAAGCCAATCGCCAAGATGCAAGATGGTGGCAGAGAAAGGGCATTTTATTAAGCAATAAACTAGCAAATCAGAAGATGGAGAGACTAGTTTCCTGAAAAACCATCTTAATGAGGGCACAGAATCTTGAAGCAGTTATATAGGCCAGTGGGTTATAGGAGTTGGGGGTTAGGAATGTTGACCCTCTGGTGTTACAGACTGGGAGTCACCACACCAGATCTTTCAGTTGTCATTGATGATGGCTACCAGCAGAACTCTCTGTCCAGTGCTCATCACATTCCTAAGGAACTCAAAAGAACAAAGTTATCGTCTTATCACAGCTGGGAGGTACACACACAAGCAGG